CCTCCTAATAGGCGGCAAGGCATGTCTCAGTTACACATGCCATCATTGTCTGTCTATACTGCACAATGCTTATGTATGAGATCCTCCTAGCTTCAGATAAAATATTTAGTCAAGCTGAAAGTCTTGCTCTTTTCCTTGAAAGGGCTCAGTAGCTGGGTCCAATGCACCTAGGGGGCCCGGAGTTCCAGACAAGAATTGTATTAAACAGATACATTGCTTTAGCAAAGAAACCCTCTGCAACACGAGCAAACTTTCTCGGGGTTGGTCTGCAACTGACTCTGTGTAATGGTGGTTTAGGAAATATGGGCTGTAAAGTACGTGAGTATTAGCATTAGCCCCTCTGAAGAACACAACGTTTCTCATGAATAGAAGTGCCTCAGTGCTGAATTATGGCATATATACCACAGAAACCTTATTATTCAGAAAAGCATCGTGGTCTACCCTGGAAAATGTCATTGCCTCATTTTAGAGCTGAGAAACCTGAGGCTGCATGTGGCCTCTTCAAATAGAGGAGAGAATAGAGCCCTTGTTTGTAATAACAGTCACGTTTCACCCACTCACCCACCCTGCCCTTCAGCTGCCCTGACCTCGACCCACATGCCCCTTCTTCAGCCAGAAACAACATTCCCTTTATTCCTTCTATGGTATCAACTCTTCTGTCTTCTAAGAGGAAGTTATTTTAATGGGCACTTTTGGTGCTGTAATTGAAGTTGAAGATGCCCCCTGCTTCTTCCCCTTACCCCCTTTTGCATTTAAATGAGTAAAAGTGGGTGTGCTGGGAGAAACAGGGGCTTGTTTGGTCTTAAACCAGGGCTGTCCAACTGGCAGCCCATTAGGGGTTAGACCTGCAGCCCCCAGACCACCTTCCCCAACTGTATTCCCCTCATTGCTCCAGCTGCTGTTGCAGCCACGGTCTTCAGACTTCACAACCCTCCTTTCTCTGGCTTTTATTTCCTGCTCCCACCCCGGGGAGCAGGGTAGGGCAGAGACACAACTTGATGCAGTGTCAGGGGAACCCAAAGCCAAGGAGGTGAAGGGAGGGCAGGAGAGAGCCCCTCTGCCTGCACAGTGGTGGGGAGCCTGTAGGCAAGGATGTGAAGGGGTGTTTGGCCCTCACGGGTGCAGCCCCTGTAGTTAAGAAGCCAGACAGTACCATCTTAAAGGAAAAGAAAGAGAGCTTCTTCCTAGGACCTTCTTTTCCTTCTGGCACCTGGCACACCACGTGGTTTGATCAGCCCATCAGGACTGACAAGCATGGCTGCATCCAGCTGTTCAAGGCATTGCTCTCGATTGTCTCTCAGGACAGGCTACCAGCAGCATCGCATGAGTGGATTCATCTTGACCAGGGATCCTGCTTTGCTCTGTTTAAAACAAATCTCAAATTCTCTGATTAAAACCCCCAAAATCTGTATTTTCATGATTAAAATGAAATACCACTATATGTATAGGTATTAGTTGAACACAAAGTTTTACTGATATATTTACAATTTTAAAGCAAATCTGTAAGCCTGCCAGTGCCTCAGTAATTATAATAAAATCAATTCTAAATACCTTCTAAATTTTGGTGTTTGATTTTGGTGTATCATAGAAAATCAGAGCTCCCCCTGTCCCCTTTGCTCACCAGGACACGAGTCCAGCTCCAACAGTATCCCCACTGCTTTGTGGTACTGAGCAGCCCCAATATGCTGCTGTGGCCCCTTACTCCCAAGCCATAGCCCTTTTAGGACTGCTGGTGCCCCTCACTCCTCACCCGCAACCCCAGCCTACCCCCTATTTGCTCCCTCCAGGAAGCACCTCCCCCTGCACCAGGACACAGGTCCAACTGCAGCTGTCTGCCCCATTTGCTTTGTGGTGTTGAGCAGCCCTGACATGCCAGTGCTCTTTCCCTGCCCAGGCTCGTGCCCTTCACTCCCAAGCTACAGCCCTGCCAGTGCCCCTCACTGCTGCCCTGCAGCCCCTGCCCATCCCCCAGTCGCTCCCTCCCAGCACCAGGACACGGGTGCAGCTGCAACTGTTATCTATTCCCCCATCCCGCCCTCCTGCTTTGTGGCTTCAAGCGGTGCCAGCCCCTGCTGTTCCACTCCCTTTATATGTGCCCAGGCCCCAGCGGTGCCCATGCCCTTCCTGGGAAGCCCTGACTGGGGCTCAGGGACTGGGCTGGGCTGCCTCTGGCTGATCAAGTCTCTTCCGCTCTAGGACAGCCTCCCCCTGCACAGGCTGCTCTAGGGGGGGCAAGGAGGCTCCAGGCCCAGATCTGGCTTCTACCTGGAGCGCCTCACCCATCCCAATCTCTCCCTCTCTCTCACATTCACTCACACCCTCTTCCCCACTGCCACCCCCAGCCCATCACACACACACACACACACACACACACACACCCCCCTGCTGCCACCTCAATTTTCCCCCCCACACGCACCCCCCTGCCCATGACCCCCCATCACACTGCCCTGAGTGGTTCCCGGGACCAGGAGCCCCTGCAGGCCAGGGCTGCGTGTCCTGGCACCAGTGCAGGGCCTGGGTGCAGTGCAGTTGCTGCCTGTGTGGCTGCAGCTCCCTCTGGCAGGTCCTGTCCTGTTCGGTGGCTGGGCAGACAGGGGCCACACTGCACCCAGGGCTGGTGAGGCTGGCAGGACCCTGGGTGGGGCAGGGCAGCATGCATGTTGCTCCTCCCCTCTCTGTGCCCCACCTCACGCCCCCAGCACTAGTCCTGGCAGAGCCGCTAGCAGCACCGCAGCCACAGGCTGGCAGGATCTGGTGCAGCAAGCAGCAGGGCAGCAGCTGCCAGCGCAGAGGACAGGCAATGCTCACCCCAGCACCCCCAGCCCCCAACCCTGCCCCAAGGGCACCAAGTGGCTAGGTAAGAGACCCTGCCCACCTGTCCCTACACAGGGTAGGGCTGTGTCCCAGCACAGGAATGCTGCCTGCAGTGTCCTGAGAATGCCCAGGTTCCCCTGCAATGTCCTGAGTGCCTATGGAC